TTTTCTAGAACTATCCTGTTCCTTCGGGAGTGCTCTAGCATTTGCTAGATTGGGGGTGGTCTGTATATATAAGATGGTCACGGCGTGACGTGACAATGTGTAGGTAGTGAGTAATTGAACTGCTGTCAGAGAGTATTGTTGAAACGTTTGTTATAGCGCGACTGTTGTAACTAATTGTGTCGTAAAGTTGTATTCGGAAATAATAAACCAGTTTTATTTAAGAAAGGACTTGTGTCGCTAAAGTTTCGTCGGAACGAAGTTACGGAAAATTAACTAACGACTGGAGGCGCAACAATATATATATATTTACATTCTATTTAGATACTGGTGTATAGCCCTTCAAAAATGACAGGTGTTAAGAAAACTATGTAAAGATTGCTATAAATTAACTAACAACAATTTTATTCACATTAAAAATTACATTTTTGTTTCATAACATTTCTTTTTACAGAACATTGACAATGTTTAAATGCCATTTTTAATGTTAAAAAGCGTCCTAAATGAAATTGGGAAAATTTTCAGCATTTTAGTTATTACTGCTTAATAATACAGCATTACTGAGAACAACAAAGGGGAACATATTTTCATCCCACGCATCCTATTAATTCCGAACTATCTCCCCTTCGAGTTCAAATCAAACGCCTGCAGTTCGCAGTCAAATTAAGCTTTGCGATGTCAATCATCAAAGCACAAAGCCAGTTTCAGAAAGTAGTGGGACTTGAATTGTCGCCACCTTGTTTTTCACATGGAGAACCGTACGTTGGATGCTCAAGAGTGGGGAATAATACGGGTCTATTTATCCTTGCCAGTGAAGGAAAAACATCGTTCATAAGGAAGCTCTGATTTAAAACAGGTTCGTAGTTTATTTTCAAAAATCAATCTAAAGTTTTTTTCCATAAATTCACAAAATATTTTTTACCTGTTGAAATATTGAACGGGGAACAGAGAGAGTAGGATTTTTTCGAAAACCTGGGCAACACTGCTAGTATTACTATTATATAATTTGTTTGCTAGAAAGCGCATGATATTTATATTATGGTCAGGAAACTTCGTGAAGTAGAAAATAAGTATAATATAAATAAAAGAATTAGTGAGTCAATGAATATTAAGTAATATTAAGTGAGTGATTCAGTTAAGTGTCAATAGTGGGTTATCGCGTCTGTTTATTTTGATATAACAGCAAAATAGTTTAATTCAGAAGTTTTATGGCATCCATGATCCAGTTGTAGCCAAAAACAAACTAAAATTTACCAAGTAGTGTTTCAGCTAAGTCTTACGTTACGTTTATGTATTAGACTACAATTTACAAATAGGCCTACTATTACTGACGTTATAGAGTCAGTGTTTAAAAAGTTTCAAGTGGTGAATAAATGTTAATTAATAAATATTCTTTTGGTACTTTTACACATATATTACCTACTTGGCCTTAAAACATAAAGAAAAGTAAAAGTTTATTAGTAGCAAATATCTTTTATTCTTTGTACAGTCGAAACAGTTTAATATTTGTCTCGGAATGTCCGCACTAT